ATATATAAAATGTAGTCAGTACTAATACAGCTTCACTATCCAAGTCCTGAAGTCAGCCCCCTAAGTAGCCTTTAATAGCTTCTTCAATAAAACGAAGAATTAATTGGGACAATAATAAACTCTTGCCTCTCTGGGCTCTACGGGCATCATGATCGGGGAGACTAATGTTTTAAATGGAAACCAGACATGACTTGTGCCCGCGTGGGACGAACCCAGAAACATCCTCTCGGCCCGTCTGGTAGCAGAGTCTCATAATGTGAGGAAAACACTTTTTCTTTCTTTCTTTCTTTTTAATAAAACCACTGTAAAAAAAAATCAGGAATGAATTACACGTAAAACAGCAGCCCTGGCGGTCCACTGTCAGCCGAAACCAATGAGGGATAAACAAGTTTGTCTTGTTTGTCAACTGTTTAACACGGGGGAGGTCAGTGAAGGAAATACCTGCAATAACAACAACAATATAATAATAAAAATAAAAAACAAACAAACAAAAAACCTTCTTGATGTTGAAATGAAAACTTGAAGAACGCCATGTCAGAACGGAGACTTTGGGTTTTATTTGGCTTTGCGAAATACGCTCTGGTGAGAGAAATAATGACAGTTTAACATGGCTGAGGTTAGAAAAGATACAGATTAACTGCATGGAGAGGGAAGCTTCAGGAACAGTCTGAAATGTGACATTTATCTCCAGCCAAGCATGAAGCGGAACTTGCACCGCTTTGGAAACTGTAGTTTAGGGAAAGATCTGGCGTGTGAGCACACGTGACGTGTCAGCTAAATTAATATGAATAAAGATGATTTTTTTTTTTTACATGTATTACAAATAAACTGGAGGAAAAGTGCATGAAATACAATCTGCTAAAAGTAGTATGCTGATATCATTTCACTGAACGGATATAAGAGATATGCTCTCTCTCTCTCTCACACACACACACACACACACACACACAGATTTAAATAAAGTTTAAATAGCTACTTAATCATCACTCTGAGATATCTCCTCACACTGATCGCGTCATCAGGTCTACAATAGCAGCAAAGCAACGATGACAATTGCTCGAATTAAATATGACGTGTGCATTTTGCAGATGCAGGAAACTGCATCCCTCAATATTTCTGAGCCGAAACAAAAGCAAAGTGCTAAAAAAGTGAAGTCACTACCTGGACTTTATTTCACTGAATTCCCTGCAACACGAGGAAGCACCACACAGCTGTCTATACGTTCAAGGTCATAAAGAAAAAGAAGCGCGTGCAAATACGCGTTTGAAATCGATCCTGTCACGTGTTGCGTTCAAGTGAAAAAGAGATGGTAAAGCAGCAGAGCAAGAAAGAAAGAAACACTATTTCTAAAGGCGCACGAGGACGTATACTGACCAATTATAATTACGCGCGCGCGCATACACGCGCACACACACTCCCTCTCTCTATTCCTCTCAAACACACACACACACACACACACACTTCAGGCTCCAGTCTCTCGTCTCTCCCGGTCTCAGTCCCACATGAAAGCAGCCCTAAAGGCGGCGGTGTGCGCCCCTGCTCACACCCCTCTCACCGGCCAAAAAAAAAAAAACCCTCCCTGCGTTTCTCGCCACTTTAGAAAAATCTTATTAACAGTCAAATGAAACTCCGCTCCACGCTCCGTCTATTCCACCGCTCTGCTATCTCCTCCTCTCACGGGCTCCCTCCTTCTTTTTTGTTTTAAAAACAGAAATACATTTGGGGAGAAGCGCCATTTTCTCTCCCAAAAAAAAAAGAAGAAGAAGAAAAAACCATGTGCGATGGAAACGCACGAGAAAAAGCTCCGCGCGACCGAGCGCGCCGCGAGACGAGCCGCCGGGAGAGCTGAGTGGAAGTTTGAGTGGAAGAAAGACGCTCGACACAACCACGAAGCACACGAGGAAAAGGCAGAGCGGCACCGCACTGAATGCACGTATATATAAGTATATTTACATAAACGAGAAAACCCGGCGTCCCCACTGTAAGCTACCCAAACAATGAAACAAGAGAAGACAGTTTACCTGTGTCAGGCAGTACGGGGAGTACATGGTGGTTTTTAGAAAGGAGACTTGGAGAGCTTATTTAAGTTGGATGGAAGCTCGGTTTGGTGCTGCATTGCAATCGCTCGCCGTCCTGTTTGTCTCACTCCATGCTGCTGCAGCTTACAGTAACCCCGCCTAGAAAGTGAAAGCTTGCACAAACTTTCAGGGAAAAAACTTTGTCTCCCTCCCCTCTCCTCTCCTCTGCTCTCCTCTTCGCAGGACTTTTATCGCTCTCCTCTTCTATCCTACTGAAAGCCCCCCCCACACACACACACACTCTTTCTATTTTTCACGCAGATTGAAGTTCTTCTTAGCAAAATGTTCGCATTTTGCCACAGCATGAACTTTGCTTTTGGGGACTCTGACTCCGCTGTGCACACGCTTCCCTGCGTCTTTAGGTTCGCGATACTGTGCTTTGGAGCTGCGTTTACTGACCCGTGCATTCCATGTTGAGAGCAGGCAAATAATTACCAGAGGGCAGATGAGCCGGTCAGTTACACCGACTTGAGAAGGAAACACGTAAATGCATCATCAGAGTAGATGAAAGTATATAATTTGAGGAATATTGCGAGAGCACCTCTGATTTCACTGACTTTTTGAATATGCGATGGCCAAGCATGCATTCAGTTAAAACCTCTTAACATAATTCTGCTGAAGGTCCTGATCACAGGATCTCTCATGCATAAGTTTACATTTAAATTAATTTACAGGAATTCAAATCGATGCGTCATCTCATTGCTGCTGTTAAGTCTATTTATTTACTGAACCAGAGTTGACCCAGTCTGAAAAAGCCACAACTGTAGCTTGAAAAACCAGTGAAGTGAGTCCAAGCCAAACAGTTACTGTAGCGTTCACTATGAAGTAGAAAACAGCGAAGACAGACGTATAATCACAGTCTGTGAGCGGTATCAAATACTTCACTGGGGTGTGTGAGGAAACACACACACACACATGAACGGTAGTGAGGGGAACACATATCACATAAAAATCATAAAATAACATTTCTTGGAGCAGGTCCCGAGTGTGGTACAGTGGGAATTTGGGTGGGAGTGAAGTCTTTGTGGAAGAAGTGGAGCTGAAATTTTAGGCCTGACGTTAGAATCCCGCAGATTTATGAGGCCTACTGCTCGTGCATTTTTTATTAAATCCTGCAAGCCTCTGCAGGCGAAACAAAGAGATCTGGGCTCTGTGTGGCCAATTACTGCACGCGGCCAGATACTCGAGCCAGAGGCGCAGGCGGGGAGGGAGAAAGTGTGTGGTCAGGAGCGCATGTAACGCCACAAAACTGCAACCTCTCGCCCTCGCCGTCGCACAAGGTTAGAACGCCAGCATTCCTTTTCTGTGAATATGATACATGACTAATGTGAACCACACAGACACGCCCTACAACACATTCACACACAACTTTTGGTTTCCCTTTGGGCAGGTGTATCAACTTCATAACCTGCCTGCAACATGCGAGGAAATCTCTTTGTCTCCAGCTCGCTTTTGTAGCCGAGCGCAAAAGGTTACAGCCTCTGCTCTCCGTCCTTTATGGAGCCGACTTGCACGCTCCGCACGCAAACACTCCTCTGCCGTCGCTCCTTAAACGAGCCACACATTTAGTGGTCTGTGTGAGTAAATCTCTCATTAAGTAACACATGGTAGAGCCATATGCTATGGTTGGTGGGTCTGCCGCGGCTCTGCTTTTTCACACGCTTCGCATATACATATTTACCACTGTTCCAGAGTGGCCAGCGCTGCTAGTGACTTCACCCACCAGCTTGGTGCTGTTGTGCAGTCGCACCAGAACTGAGGATTTTATTAGGAAAGTGTCACAGGAGTGAGCAGTAACGATCTCGCAGCCGCTGTGGCCGTGCATCGCGGGGAGGCTTTAGGCTGTGGGTGTGCAAAACAGCTCGTGTGAGGATGAAAGTAACCACAAATTTGACGGAGACCCGTGCGCACAGTATTACAGCCGGTGTTGATACCACAACTGTCTATAGGTGGCAGAGAGATAAGTCAGTGTGGTTGCAATGTCTGGCAGAGCAGATGTCATCTCTAGCAGCGCGTCGTTTACATACACTGCACATGCGAGGCTTTGCTTGAAGTAGTTGTTCCTGACCAGGTGGAATCGCCTGTAAACACATCCGTCTCACCAAAGTCACCCTCTAATTTAAAAGATGTCTCCTTTAATTAATTAAAAAAACAAAAAACATGAGCAGTGCATGAATACACTTTCTAGCAATTTTTATTTTCTGTTTGTCGTGTTTCACGCACAGACATGCAAATAGTTTAAACAAAATATCAAAATTTGGGGGGATTTAAAAATCTTTTCATTGGCTGTTAGTCACATTGGAGAAACATCACTTCTGGTCGATTTTAGAAAAATTCAGACATGTTATATTGCCAACATATTATAAAAAGACAAAATATTACAAGTTTCCTTTGCTTTAAAAGTATGGAGTAAGCCAGGGAGTAAATTTAAGGTGGTTGCAATTATTTGTTTGAACTGAGAACCAGGAATTGAGCACACGACCTTAAGCCCTTAATTTTAAGCGTAACACAGTTTGTACATCTTAGTTTAGCTTCACATGAAAACCACTCATAAAATGTGGATTATTAAAAGGCTGCTACATATGTTTACAAGGTTTACACATGTTATTAACCACAAAACTGTGTTTTATGTCACATTCTAGCGGCTCATGCAAATACAGCTTTAATTAACATCTGAATGACAACCATGATCACTGTTGCTAGCTAAACTTTGAAGATGACCCACTGTGTCTTGCTTATTTTCTGTCATTTGCACTGCGTTGTTACAGAGGTGGATGCTCATATTAAACTTGACCACGAGGTCAACTTATGCAGAAGTAATCTGTGTGAGCCCAAAGAGCAACGCAAATGTTTTTGGCTCTGTATTATGCCAAGGAGAAGCCCCACCCACTTGATGTTCTTTGTTTGGGAGGGGTAGCCAATGAGATTGAAGTTAGTATAAAAGGAGGGTGTTTTTCAAACGAAGAGCTGCTCAAACAGCTTGTTTTAGACAGTGACGGAAGATAAAGACGAATCATTTAGACTCTCAAAAAGCTCAGTCATGCAAGGATCCTCTAGTAGAGTGGAAGAATAAAAAATACAGAGCTGGAAATGACCAGAATAAGTCCCCTTTAACACGGTCCTTGGCCACCCAGGTATGGAAACCACATTATTGGAGGTCTAAACACAACAGATAAAACTGTGAGCACAGCACTGCTGAAACGAATCGTTTGAACATAAACATTAATAGACTCACTAGCCTTTGAGGAACAGTTTCTTAGAAAAGCTGTTACCAAGAAAAGCCGAGCGACAAATGATTAAAAAGAAAAACAATTATGTTGAAAATTCAGCGTCAGCTGGTAAAGTTAAAATACCCCAAAATAAAAAAATAAAAAGTAAGCAAAGTTACCGTTTGCATTTATGATATAATGCAAATTCTGTCCTGTATTAATTCTTCACTGGCTGCAAAATTCTGGGACGTTATTGTGTTTAAAATTCAATTTTTTCTGTATTTATTTTGCTTTTTCTGTTATTTTTGTGACAAAAAAAAGAAATCACCATTGCAAATGTTTGAGTGATGTGACAGATCATAGATATCCTCTTTCCCCCACTTTTTTTCTTTGCAGATATACAGATATCAATCAACAGGGCTGAAAGGGGAAGTGAAATGTGCACTGATACTGACGTATCAGAAATAAGCATCAAGGACGATCCTAACGTTATCAGCACAGGTTGTTATAATGTATAGTTTGCATAACATTATTGTACAAAATGCTCAGGACGACAATGAAAGGAGTCGTGACGCACTTTGCACAACACCGAGCCCCCTACATTAGACCTCCCGGTGAGAAGCTGGAGGCGGACGCTCTCCTGTGGACGCTCTCCCGTGGACGCTCTCCTGTGGACGCTCTTGAACTCGCTGCCCCAATCCAGCCACAGTGACACCCCTCCCCCTCAACCCCTGTCTCCCAAAACTCCCTTTAGACGGCGTGCTACCCACTCCTGGCCACAGCACTTCATTTCTTTACCCGGAGACATACAATATAGTGCAGCAACCCAGATTCTCTGAGAGACTTGGCATAAGACTTAACTCTGGGAAACAAAGCCTGTAGCCTAGAAAACGGCTCCCACCTCATTAATGATCACATTTTCAGTCATACACAGGACCCCCCCGCCCCACCCCATCCCGACTCCTCTGCTTTTATTACCATTTTATATCACGCCGATTGCTGTAAATCTCACGGGCTTCTTTTTTTAGAAATGCTGCTCACTTTTCTCTTACTTTGTAGTTCTTTTTCGTTTTCTACATCTAGGCATGCTTCACATTATCGTCGTAATTTGCACTCCCGTGAGACGAGGGCGCTTCGGTGAAGTTGCAAAGGCTTCTTTTTCTTTTTCCCCCCCTCTTTCTTTTCTTAAACGTGCGTGTGGAAATAATAATTGTAATGGTTTGCAGCTGAGTGGAGGAGCTGTGAATGACATTATGATTGCGGTGCAATTACCAAGAGCATGAAAACAGACTGTCAGTCAGAATAATGAGTAATGACTCCAATAACACATTTAATACCGACACATGAAATAATAATAACAATAATAATAATAATAATAATAATAATAGATGCATACCCTGTATGAATCTGATACTACAAAGCATTCAGGCATCCCAGGACCTCTGGAGGGTTCTTCGTTCAACAGAAAGGTTTCAGTTGCCTGAAATGTAACACAGTGATGCATTAGTTGGTTCTGTATTTAGGATCAGGGAATTTAAAACACACAGAAAAGCTGGTCGCAAAGCTGCAAAAGCAGATTTTGTATGTGAAAATCCTCCTCATCCTGCTGCTCGACCTATTTCATCATCCTCCTCAAGTCCCACCACCAGATAACTACTCTGCACACACACGCACGATGGTGTGCACCGCCTGCCTGCGCCCATATGCTGTGCAGGCCCGAGGCCCAGCCCTGCCAGTCACTGCCACTTGAATGGGGAGCAAAGTGTTTAGCTGCCGTACCCGCACACAATACTCCGGCACAATGGCATTTCCTGTCCCTGCTAATTCACCTGCATGGTCACTTTTCTGTCAGCCTGCTCTGATTCAGCACAAATCATTCACACACACACACACACACGCACAGCCGCATACAGTAATACACATGTCTGGCAAAGACTCGCACATACAGAGGCCATACGTCTGCCTCCGCGGAGACAAAAACAGGCCACTCAAAAGGCCCTGCCCTGCATCCGCTGATAGATGCAGCTAAAGTGTTTATCCCAAGTGTTTGTTTCTATTCAGTGCAGTTCATTTGTATGCTGAGGGACGCGTCAGCCGAGACTTGGGCTCTGAATGAGCATCCATTGCAGTTCTGCTGTCAATTGAGGCAGCCAGGCCAGACAACATAGATGGGAGGAAACCACAGACTGAGGAGCTGGATATGGGAATGGGACTTCTGCCTGGTTTGCTAGCCTGTGGCTATTACTTTTTAGTCCTAACTGGTACAAATTGCTTTTTGCCAGGCTAAATTTTAATGTCTCTTCTGGAAATCGACTAAACCTATTAGACAAGGGCTAAAAACGTCTGCGTTCATGAAAATAGCTCCGGTTCCATGAGTAAGAGAGTGGAAGTTTTACTCACAATGGGACTTACTTGAGTTTCTGGATATAGGAGAAGAGGGGAAGTAATCTTATTTTCCAGAACTTTACCTTCTTATCTCTCAACATACCTACAGCAGAAACAAACATGCACCCAAAACAGGAACAAACATCGCTCGTAGCCAGCAAGAAAATGTCAAGTTATAGTATTTAAACTGGCATGTGATATAAACAGATTTTTAGGGAGTTTAAACAGATATTAGGTTACTTAAGCATTTGCATATGCAGACAAATACACACATGCGCCGGGTGACATGGGATTGCCCTTAAACAAATACATGCAGAGACACATGCATAAACACGCAGCACTATAATAAGTCCCAGACTTGGACTAACTGAGCTGCGGCTGGCGACACAGGCTATTCATATCCTGCAGAATGAGAGGTTACAGCTCGAGTCTTTTCCCTTTTCCTTTCTACTGTAACACAGGAAGGGCATCTGTGTGTATGATTTCACTCAACGTCTGTGGCAAAAGGTTCAGCAGGCAGGTTGATTAACATAAGACTAACACTGGCTTTGTTTAGCGTGGCCTCTCCCACGCACAATAAGTTCAGCGTGTGCCTCGTGAAGCACACGCTCGCTTAAACAAAAGTTAGAATTCGAGTCATCCAAATGGCTAAGAAAACACTACGCGCGGCGCTCGGCCTCAGCATCCAACCTCTGGCCTGTCATCATTAATATGTGGGGAAACACTGGAGGGAAACCATTTGAAACCATTTGTCCCACTAAATGGTGCCCTTGTCAAGCTCCCCGGGCTTTCTGTTAAGCTTTTAAACTGCCCAGTCCAGCTGAAGGATATATTTTACTCCACTGATAATTACAGAGCAGCACAAAACATGGCACTCCACTGGCTCGAGCTGCCTCTTGTTTCTGACATGTTTTAGTCATTTAAGGATGAAAAATAATTTTCACTGCACAGAGGGAATCCCGGCTCGAGGACGCTGAGCACCGGATAAATGACAATCTAGAAACACATCGTTTAATGAATGAATCTTTCTCTGTCTCCAGCCCTGAGAGAGCTGCACTGAGGCTCAATGTTGAGTGCAGCTCCCTGAAGCACTGGCCCGCTTTCCTCCTCTGTCAGTTTTTATGCAGCATAGTATCAATTATACATATATGTGTTTTTCTATATGTATGCAACATATGCCTGATCCATATGGCCGGCCCCAAGCTAAAATAGTTGCAGAGTCTCATGTCATAAACACTTAAAAAGCCCCGCTAATCATTTGCTGTCTGCGATGCTGGTTTTCGGTGACTGAAATGAAGCACAGATGATTAAAACAGAGAAGCATCAGCCTGGGTCAGGCTTAAATCCACAGTTCAAATCTCCATATTATTTACATGCAGCATGTATGGGGTAGTTCAAGAGCTTGGAAAATCCCCCAGTTTGTGAATTTTAGCTATTTACAGAGGTTTTGCAGGCAACTTCATAAAATTGTAAGTATTCTGTTCAGAGGTTGAATATGTTATGTTTATATATGTTTATATCAAGTAATTTTGCTAAATTTACAATTATGGAACTAATAACTATTATGTACTAAATCATTTGCTGTTTTACATGTTTACAATTCACTATTTTACCGTCAATTCTGCCCACAGAAAACAGCCGTACAAGGAATTCCCTCTACATAACCCTAAACAGAGAACAAATAACAGACTCATCAAGTGGACAGAAAATCTCCAAATGAATGATTGAATGCAATAATAGAATATCAACGATCACAATTTTTTCTCTCTGCCAAAAAGTTTTGACATGTAAATTTAAACTACAGACGGCGAAACAATTGCATTAAACATAAAGAGGTCTGAAGATTTTTAGCTAAAGCTAACACAAACCAGAGAAACAGAACACCCCCCTACCCCCAGCTAGGTTAGCTCTGTTCAGAGAGAACAAGGATTGCTATATTTTATTTATTTTTACTTCACAACTGTTTTATCAAGTCGTTTTATAAAATCCCTCAAGTTGTCTTATTTCTCTGTCCTGTAAAAACCTAATTGCCAGAATAAGACTAAGACAAGAATAAGCTCATAGTATCAACCTTGAAGATAGCAATTTGTCACTTATTGCTTCAAACTATTGCAGATTTTATAAAAGTAAACATATACTTCATAACAGCTAGGTTTTATTTCCCCCCCAACATGCTAACACTAGCAATGTTACCTGAATTAGCATAAAAATGTTAGGTATGAATCTGGAGCTAGCTTAAAATAAAAACTAGAAATTGGGATAAATAACTAGCTTAGCTCTGTCCAAACCTTCTATTAAGCTGTCTTACCAAATGTTTTTTTGTGTCCTCGCTAGCACAACATTATTTGTGAGACTATGTCACTGTACTTTTCTTTGTTCACAAAGAAAAAGTTCAAACAGGTTAGCTTAGCACCTGCTAAGCTAACCTGTTTGAAGGTTAGGTTTGAAGATTAGCTTCAAACTTTAACATGCTAAGCTAGGTTAAAGTGAATCTCATGCAGAGAGTGAAGAGGTGTACTCTAATTTTCAAATATTTTCATATTGTAGTGAAAACATTTATTTTAGTGTATTATTGTTGTTGTAGATTGCTAAATGAGCCATATTAGCAACATCCTGCTGTTGCTGAATTCAAGGTGAAACTGTAACCGGCTGTCAGTTGAAGCGGCCCTTGATTATGAATAGGCACTTTGAGCTGCTAATTGCTCTAATATGTTTACAAGTTAGCCACTCGCTGTTTTAACCTTTTAGTTGATTTTACACAAATGAAAGAAAAATGATAGAAAAAAAAGCAAAAGCAACAACTATAACAGGTTGGGCAGTCACCTAGCACCAGCGCTACCTTCGTTTAGTCGCATCTGAGACCAATCTCAGACACAACTGAGCATGAATACGAATCATGATCTCTACAATACCTCAGCTGCACTTACTCTGCTCAATTCTCTCTGACATCCGCGTTTACAATAAGTGAGATCTAAAAGGGGGACAGATGCCTAAGTTGGCTGCCTCACATGGAATTAGATTAATCAGAGCGCATATACATATGGCCCACCTTCCTCTGTCTCCCACTTTGTCTTGTTCACACAAAGATACACAACAGCCCAGAAACCACCTGGGTTTCCATATTTCTCAATACGCGTCGATCCACCAGCGGTGGGGATCTTCGCAGTCACTGATTAACAGCCTTCTGATCATTCCGCCGCACCGTCCTAATCATTTGCAGAGTTGTCTGTATGAGCTCAACAGTTCCTAGAGGATCAGAGACTTCTGCGGCAAAACATAACTGACATCCTACTCAGTCCTGCTCCATTCAGCCTTAATTGTATCCTCATTCTTCACCTGGTAACAAGCTAACAAACCTGTGCAGATGTGGCAAGCACATCAAAGAGAGGGAGGGATGGGAGGGGGAACTTGTTTGTAAAAAAAAATGTGTGGGGGAATATGAAAGGGGAAATTTACGTTGTGTGAGTCCAAGCCAGCGCCACCTCAGGGAGAAATGCTGGAAAAATGTGATATTTTACACCTGCATCTCAGGAGGTGGGGAATAAGAGACAAGGAGGGGGGAGGTGGTAATTAGAGGAGTGTGCGTGCTTGCATGCGTGCGTGTGTGTGTGTGTTCGTAAAGGATTTTTAGTATGTTTCTGGGTCTTGCCGCCGGTTCTTCTGCAGCATTCAATTTGGTATGATACATTCGATGCCAGATTATTAAAAATGCTAAACCTGGTTACGAATGCTAAAAAAAAGTGTTGAAATTTTAAACAAATATGCTAATATTGTTAGAGTGATAAATAGCTGGAAAACCCTGTTTAATGAATAATGCTATTGGCTCTAATTCCTCATTAAGGCCCTAAAGAGGAGAGTGAAGAGAGAAAATACATGTATTGTTGTGATTTTTCCCCCTTTTCTCCCCCCCCAAATTAAACTCAGAAGGCATAAGATACCAGCACCTTCCCAAATTAAGTTCATTCAAATTACTTGGTTACACAGCTGGTGTGCATTCTGGTGTGTCTTGTGAAACCAATTAATGTGAGGCTTCAGTCTTGATAAGATAATTAAAGGAGGGCTAGAATAGAGATGGAGGAGTTTGAGGTATTCAGGCTCGTGGTACAAAATGAGACTTCCTTTAAACTGCAAAAAAACTTTGCCTTGAATCAAGTTAAAATAAAATCTGTGATTTGTTCTGCCATTTCCAAAGCAAACTGATCTGATCTGGGGGCTTCAGTCAAATACTGAAGGGTCTGCGTTATTTCTAGATTATTATTTGTTTAAAGTAACAAGTGAGATTATCTCACTCCAGTGTTTTGACTTTGTATATTTTTAGAGCTCACTTAAAGAAGTTAAAACTGCATGCTGTAAATCTGGCTTCCTGTACTAGGCATTATGCGTTCCCTGGGAACGTTTGAATTAAAACATAGGGTTATTTTTGATTTTGTTCCATAAGAAGAGATGCTTTTTTGCATTAACTGTAGCAAACAACTGTCTAAACATCCTGTAAAACACAGTAATGTGGCATTCTTTCTAAATACAGCTGAATCCCGTGACCTCTCGGGCCTTTGATGAAATCTTAATGTTTACACCCCGTTTTTCTTGGATTTGACCTTCATTCTCTTGCTCGCGACATCGCAACATTTTAATTTGGCGGTGCCGTGCGTGCTGGTAGTTTCAGTTATGCTGCACTCAGACTTTGAGCGTTGCAGATGTTTGATATGGTTTCCAGTGTTTATTTGGTTTATTTCTTTTTGTTTATACAGAACCAATTCTTAACAAAGGTGTTTTGTAAGTTAAAGAAAAAGCAGAATGAAAGGGAAATCCCCAACAATCAGACAGCCTGCTATGAGGAAGCAGTTGGCGATGATGAGAAGGAAGAACTCCCTTTTAAAAGGAAGGGGCCTCCAGCAGAACCAGTCTTATCTAAGCATCTGCTGCAACCGGTTGGTGGGTAAGAGAAACCACTGCACTGTGAGTGCAGTGGTTCGCTTTTTTCTCTCTCCAAGAACAACGTTAAGGTTTAACTAGCAATAGTACACCACGACTGAGTTAATGAGTTAATCGCTTCTGTCCAGGCTGGTTGTTAAGATGTTGAATACAGGAATATCCTGAAAACGCAACCAACAGGCATGCAGACTGTGAGCCTGTTCAGCATAAGAAATGTTGTTTTTAAAGATTCAGATCTGTGTATTGCACTCAGCAGTGATATAAAGATTTTAGAGTAGTAATACTGCAATGAATAAATATGAAAATACTCCATTTAGAATCCATTCATTGTATTTACCATGCAGAGCACTGTCCAGCCTGTAAAACCATTTGTCATGTGTTTCGTGGGTCTATTAAAAATGTTAAAAATGTTTTGAGGCCCAAAAAACGGCCCTGTTGATGTCTAATGATGTCACTAGAGTTTTCTTGACATTTCAGTCTATTAAACGCACACAAAAAAATATATATATATTAGCAGTACAGGAATGGAGTCTGAGCTGAGTGAGTTTAACTAAATGAAAATGTAATGAAACTGAATTTAATTTAATGAAAGATGTTACTGAGCTGCACTGAGATCTGGGATTCAGCTTTTCTCAGTTTGAATGATTAGCTTAGCTAAGCTTAGCTCAGACCCAACTGTAAGCAGTAAACCACTGGAGTATTACTGTAGTTTTATCTTTTGAGACACTCTTTCATTGATTCGTTTAGCACAAGGATCTCATATTAAGGAATGACTGAGGTGATCACAGCTCGTGATATATCCACTGTAGCCCCTCGGCTGCACACTGTTAAAATCACAACAGCTTAAAAACCAGTCAACCTGACAAGCACATCTGAGCTCACTATCCTAATATTTATGCTGTTTGACTGTATATCAGAGTTTCCATCTTTAAACTACAGCAAAAGCTTACACACTGTATAAGCTATTATAGCCTCCTTGAAGCCTTATTTATTTTTCCAGAGAAACGTCAAGGCCAGGACAAACATAATAGCATAATATTCTGTATACAGTGAGGGATGACATCACTGGCAACGACGGCCAAGATGGAGATCACACAAGACTGGAAAACCGCTTGTCTGATCATCATGTGGTGGGCTGTACACACACACACACACACACACACACACACACACAGAGGCAGGATACAGTTACCACAGCTATTTACACAGCACTCTGTGATTCTATTTTTTTTAATCTTTAGTTCCTGCACTATATATCACACACATGTTTACCACGGAGAATCCAGTGTAAACTTTGCATTTGGCTATTTATTTAAAAAAACCGCTTGTATTGCTTATTGTAAAGGTCCAGTCTGTCTGTAAATCATCATTTTGGACCCATAATGTCATCTTTGTATTTCCTGATGATGGCTCAAACTTTCTGTTTACTTTCTGGCACATAAGGAAAAATCCATAACCTATAAATCCTCGTGTATATATAGATCAGCTGTAAAGAAAAGTAGTGTTTGAATATTTATTTCTGTGGCAGAGATGGAGAACTGGCCTCGGGGAAAGCTAACAGGAGTCTGACACTGATTGACAGATGCCTCCAGTGCCTTCTGACTAAACTAACATGCAGTTCAAATGTTTGGCACAAAATCAACACAACACACATATAGCCTTTGAAAATAAATAAATAAGATTTTTTTTAAAAGAGGTGAGTTGCTGCTATAAGTAGGAGAATAACAAGTGGGGATAATCCCATGTGAGGCCTGTCCTGAATTCTGTATCATTTTTACTGATGAGCTTCTTGGGCAGCTGCCATGTCAGCAAGGATGCTCGTAAACAAATAATTATTCATACTAATAATCTTCCATATTCATGTGCAAATAAGATCCATTCCTGGGTATCTAAGCAGCTTCAAGGTTGTATGTGGGAGGTTCCCCTAACTATTGCCTGACTTGAAGCATTTCATGCCAAAAAAGAATTTCTAAGGGTCAAGGATGTGTGAGCTCTCTTTCATAGTTTTGCATAAAACAGACTTTCTTATTACTAATTTTAAAACCTAAAAGCACTTCATTCAAATGCATGCTTTCGCAAGCCTCACAGAGAGTAGATTTCTCATTTAACATGTTAAAAGAAAATCGGGATAAAACATGAAAAACGTCTTCTGTTTGAAAGGACTCAACTCAAACGAAGAAGGAAACCTTGGATAAAATCTCATAAGCTGATGTCTGCTTAAAGAATCCTCAAACAAACTTCAGTTAGAGTTTGAGAAGCATTACAAACGTTTGCTTTGTGATACCACTGGATTTCCCTGAATGGGACAAATAAACCACCTGCGTAATTAAGGATTTAGTCCCTGCGTAATTACGCACAAATCAAATGGCCACTTAATAGAACGCTGGCGCAGACAATAAGTTCCATCCTGCTACAGCCAACTTTCCAGACTCTGGTAAACCTTGCCTTTAGGTGGGATTTGTGCTCTGGGATCCTTCCCACATGCAACACTGAAACCTTTACATACTATATGACACCTCTATTATGGATGTTGTGCCATAGGTCCTATCACATATGCGACTATAAATAGACTAGCCCAGTCTGTAAGAGGAGTCATGTTCTCCGTGTGGATGAAACGGCAGAAGGCAGTAGGCATCGGGCGGTGAACTGAGAGGGCTGGACACTAATTTGGCCAGCAGGTTGGAAAGAAAAAATTGGCAACAACGTATGTAACTATTAAAATAAGGTGGATTAGGTTTTCCTTCCAGCAACATCCTTTCAAATGTACATGCAGCTCCTTAGCGAGGAAATCTCCCCACATTTTTAAAATAACCATAAGATCCTAATGAGTCTAACTGTGACAGCAAACAGATTCAGGTAGGTGGAGGGACTTGGCACATACTTTGTGACTGTTACACATTAGCCACACCAAATACACACACACACACACATACGAAATATAAGATAGCTCACTAAACTGTAAAGCACAGAATCATTAAAACGATGAACAAGTACAATGATTGTCAAAGCTGACTGCATAAATGAGCAAATTATTGGTTTACATAGCACGTACCATTGTGGTGTGAGGATATGTGCCAACACTCTCAAAGACCCATTTTCCACTCTGAAAAGTTCGGCTTCCAAAAAAAAAAAAAAGTGAGTGGGAGAGAGAAAACTGCTCGGTTTCTTGCTCAGCTGGGCCTTATACCGGAAGCAAAAGAGCCCTAATGCACGGCCTGCTGCCCGGTAAACATTTTTTGGGATAAAGTGAAGTCAGCTCTTCTCAGTCCAGGCAAACGGGACGCAGAGTCGTATAATCCAAGCGGTCTGCCTCCCGACTTCTTCATGCAAGGTGTTTATGTGCGGCTTTCAACTCGTGATAGTTCCACGAAACTCGAAGCTGCGCGCGCCTGGCTGCACTCTCAGTCCCGGTGCCGTCACGTCCCCGCACCGAGTCTCCGAGCTACGTGCCACCGAGACGCTGCACCGTCAGAGCCCGAGTGTCGGAGCAGAAGCCTGGCCGCGCACCGACAGTAAGTAGCCTGCCCTGCGCTCGCAGCTCACGCGCTCACCAAATCAGCTGTTGCTCCTCCAGACTGGACGCCGCGCGCTCTCTCCCCTTGCATGCTCAGGCGTCGCCGATCACGTAAAAGTGCAGTCCGCTTCTCGGTTCTTCTCCACCTGTCCTCCACCCCCTTCTCAGTGTCGGCACAAAGTTGCTGGGAGGACCGCGTCTGAAACAAAACTCAGCATGTGGCAGCGCGAGTGTCGCAACATCCGCGAGCGGGACCTCAGCGGACGGTCTGTGATCTGAAACCCAAAAACAAAGAGGTGAAACGTGCGTCTGTCTCCCCGTGTGTGCGACTGTGTGTGTGTGAGCGTGAGTGTGTGACACCGAGCAGCTATAATTAAGTAAACAAAATGCGAGAAGTGAGCGCACAGCGTGGCCGCCTGCACGCACCACTGAGGACGAAACGGTGTCCTGCGGCCGCGGCCGAAGAAGCGGAGCGGAGGGCTGGTGAATTATTAATAACCAGAGCGGTTCACAGTCTGTCGTGTTCAGTGAGTAACCAGGGCGGCAGCTGGGGGTTTAGAGGAATTAAATACGGGCTCAGAGTAAACCGTGGACGCAGGGGATTAGTAGCTCTCACCGGCAACAGTGTAGGGGCAGCTCGGGGCCGATAGAGAGGGCGGGAGGGAGCGGAGGTTCTAGGGAGCAGTGGGGGAGACGGCGGAGGTGGTCGGGTAGGACATTTTTTTTGAGTGCAAATTTAATAGTCAGCCTAAATGGATGGGTGGTATGTACGTGAACACGTGTCACTTAAAATTTAAATATGAGCTCCAGCTGGTGAACAAAAACCTACAATCTAAACAAAAATCTCCATAGCTGATATTTTTATGGAGTACATTTTCATTTGTCGAAATTACCCCCCAGGTAAAAGACTCCCATTTGTTGACACTTGACTAACCATAGAAGAGTTTCTCTGAGGATAAAAAAAATAAAGTGATAATAAACTGAAGTGGGTTATAACCCTCCGCTGCCCGCATATGTTTCCATTTTAATGGCGAAACAATTCAAATAAAATAAAGGCAAGTTTACAAAAAAGTCTCTATTTAAAATGTTTAACTAAGACATTTTAACACTTTAGTTTTTGCCAGATTTTACGCACAGCCAGCACCGCAGGCTGACCGACTGCAAGCCCCAATAGTGCAAAGCTATAAACCAAATCCTTAAAAAAAGAATAAACTCCTCCTCTCTTTCCTCTGTGTCTTGATCCGTTCAAATTACTGATGTGTTTATTTCGCCATGAATGCAGCGAACAGTTTGAGCACAAGTTTGAAACAGTGAGGTTAGAGAGAGCGCAGGTGCATGACTTCTGGCTGGAGCCTTCACCGAGTTTTTATTCCCCACAAATATCCAAATCAGCGCAGGAAATCAGATGGAATTTCAGCAGACATCTTTTTTTAAAAAACACGACAACAGGGGTCTTTTTAATGCATAAATTACCAAAAGCGAGTTTTAACCTTTTATGGGTAAAGCGCAGTATTTTACGGAAGTGCGCAACTGCAGACGTCACGCATCGAAATGATGAGCAGAGACAAAAGTGGATTCCTCCTGATGCCAGTTTACACCGCGTTGGTTCAACTTCAGCACTTCACACACAGTTAAAGAAAAAGCTGCCGGGCTCAGAGTGGCTGTGGTTCGTTGCGTGGAGATTTCAGTGACAGAGAAGTCCCTTCGTGTTTGAGTTCACACTAAATGTAAAGCTGCGTTCATTCTTTTCCCATAAAAATGTGATTTTTTTATGGGAAAAACCAAAAATCTGGGTTATGAAAAATGATAAGGCTGCTTTATTAAAATAAAATAACGTCTCCCTAAATCTGAAACTAAAGACACACACACACACACACACACACACACACACACAGGAATAGCCACATTCTCTATTTCTTTTTCTTTAAGTTTTCCGTTTCTTCATTTCTGGATGACATTATCGTCATTTCTGAATCCTAATTGTGCACAAATTCACTGTCACTTGATGCAAAATCAGACATATAAGTCTGTCTCAGTGTCTCCAATCACCACAATCTGGGATTCAGTTTTAGAGAAACAGCATTAAATAACGGTCGGTTGTGTGATCTGTTTCAAAAGAAACGAAATGAAATGACATTATTTAAAATTCTAAAGGAAAAATTACAACCTGAAACATTTACACAGCAAATAACCAGTTTAGGCCTCGAGTTTCTTTTATTTAATTAATTTTATTTAAAGCTGATATACATATAATTAGACCATCTAAAATATATTCAATGTTTGACAGGAATTATTTTATGGACAATATGATCTGAAATATGTATTTAAAAAAAAGGTCCACAAAAGCATCAATAATGTGTAAAAATATGAATCTGTTCATTTAAATTGCAAGAAACACATTCAAAGCATAAAATGATGTCAAATCGCCTGATTTGTTATCAATTTACATTTTTAATTTGAATGATTAATTATTTAGTTTTTTTTTCTTTTAAACTGTGTGTGTGTGTGTGTGTGTGTGTGTGTGTGTGTGTGTGTGTGTGTGTGTGTGTGTGTGTGGCCTTTTCCAGTGAGCGGCCTGCTAGAGAAATCAAGTCTTCATCATGAGAGACAGATACATGAACTTAAGGCCTCCGTGGGAGTGGAATCATTTCAGTGTAATCAGTTCTAAGCTGCTTTGTCTTTTACTTATTTTTTCTTTGCTCTGTCGACGTTAAACAAAACGTTTCTTTAACATTTAGTCAAACTGCAGCTTTTTATGATACCAGTGCACAAACTGGCCCCCGAGAAAAATACAGAAAGAAAGAAAAAAGGCACGAGCCTCGTGTTTGTAAAGGCACGAGTCTGAAACACAGAACAGAATGGCTTCAAGCTTCACCTGATCAAAAAGCAAAACTCCAAACAAACAAACAAAGAAGCAAAAAATAAAAAATATAAAGTCTCTCTGATATGACACTCGTTTCATTCATTCACGCTCCTCTTGACTTCTTACTTGACCTTGAAATATTGGATTTCGAGCAATAAACTCGAAACTATATATATATACATAATTTCAGAGGTGTTGGGTGCTGGGCCGGTTGGGAGCTTTATAGAAAAATGAGAACAAAACATTTTGGAAATGTAAACCAAACTCTGGGTTATTTACAAAAAGGCTGAAGGCAAAAATGTGCACCCGATTGCTTTGTTTTTGTAGCTACAAACACACCAGCGATGGTTAGTTGAGATGGCACTATTTAGTGCAGCAAGTCTCGGATATAAACGAGGCCACAGCACAAAAACCTGTAGATGCGCATTTTTGCACGCATCTGTGCTTTGTGGGAAAACGCTCACCTCTCATTTAAAAAGTAAGAAATCCCTGTCTTTATCTATACATTGCCATATAGTGTCTCCACATCTGACCCGAACGCCCCCCTCATCATTCTGCACCGGTCCAAACCGGCAGCTTGCGCTAATTTGCGGGGGGAAAGCCCTTTCTTTGGTCTCTCTCCTCTCCTGGTCCTATATACCGTCTCTCCCAGGAGGTTTACACAAACTGTGAGACAAAAGTTCCACTAGGCAACGGCCTGTCGAGGAATGCTGACCTTGGCACGGCCAGTGGAATCGGCTCGGCCGTTCTTTCGTTTCTTATGGTTTGAATTAAGGCGCATTTGACCTGCGCCAACTTCCAAGAGTTGCCACGGAGGCGAACGGGAGCCGTGCTATAGGTTACTGCTGTTGCTGCCTGCGCTGAATGAAATGATAAAAAAGAGAGGGAGAGAAAGGGGGCTGCAGACCAACGATGACACGTGAGAGGACAGAAAATAGTGACCAACTAACGATCGCTTTAGCAGGAATTTAGGAGCAGGCCGTTAAAAACAAACAAAGATGTTAGAACGGACAAACAACAGCGATGAAACCAAGTAAAAATATACAGTAAAGCAACCTGACGAGCAGGAATGGATCTGAATCTTTTACACGAGTGAAAGTGGCGTCATCAGAAACAAAGGGAAATTCTGAAGGAACAGCTGGAAAAATAATGACCCCTATTCACACCGTTAGGCTTACTACAGTATTAATATCAGTGCATTAAAGTGCGTTTTAGAGACATTTTACTGATGAGTAGTCTGGAGCACTTATTATCAATATCTCTAAAAAGGTGGTCAAACCCCCCCCAGACCAAACCGGAAACACAAATGACAACCAAACGTGCACAATTAAAATGAACAACCCCTTTAAACGTTTCAAATGTAAAATAAAAGCAACAACGCCACCTTTGATTATTCCACAGCTCTTAAATGTCCTCGAACAGCAAAAGGAGAGCAGTGACAGCTTTGCACCAGGAACATCCTGAGTTAGATCAGGTACACTCCCTGTTGGGCATCACAAAACATTACAATCCTGCTTTTTCACAGGGTCACTGTCATTGTAATGTTTTAGGCATTAAATGACTTCATGCCTAAGCGCTTGAAGTAAAAAGATTATAGTGGGGAAAAGGGGCAGAGAGCGTCACCTGCTTAAGCAGAGAAAATGAACAGAAAAACACTGAATGAAATAAATCATGTGCTGTTTTAAAAGAATTTTAATTTAGCTTTTCGTATGTTTTTGATGTCAAAGTAAAGTATTTCTATATGTACTGATTTACCGCTGATCAATCTGTAAATCCCTGAGGACCTTTGATATACAGGTTAAGGTTTAATTAGCTGAGTTTAGAAATCTGCCTAATTACCACAAGACCCTTGAGGAAGTGTGTTATTGGCCCTTTGTACATAAAAGCAGAAAAGCAGCGTTAAGCAGGATCAGACTAAAGTCACCTTACTTTAAATATATAAAAGCTGATTGGAGAAGAAAGTATGTTTTTAATTGTTTGGGTCATTTATAGTAAATCTTACAGGTAGGAGAAACACTCACTTTAAAGGGACAGCACACTTACGGAGACGTCTGTGCTCTGAACCTGCATCAGTCTGATCAGTTTCCTCCCATGAAACCAAATTATGAGGTAGTGCGATTGCTGAGGCGCACACGTAAACGCACACACACGGCGCACACGTGCAGATGTTCGTCCACCTGCAGGCTGAGCGCTGAAATGAACAACACCTGAAGAAAGATGACTGGTGGAGCCTCAGGCCCTGCGAACCACTGATTGGCTGAGCTGAGGATCGGGCTAACTGATGCTGAGCGGCGTCTGTGTATGCGTGTGTGTCTTTCTGTGTGTGCATGTGTATCTCTCGGGGTATCCCACCCTCCCCTGCCTTATCAGGCAGCTCCACGGCACCACTAGAGGAGTGCTGCTCTCAGGAGGGCAGGGCTACCAGCACACCGCTTATCTTCTACCAGCAAGGAGGGTTTATAGGTCTGATTAACTCACTGTTTGCATGTGTTGTGTGTATGAGAAAAGAAGAGAGCTGCAGTGTATAATTGTGTATTGTGGACTAATTGTGTGTGGGTGATTGTGTGTGCGGCGGCGGCGGCTGTGTAAGTGGAT